ACTGCTTTGCATCATCCGGGCATTGCGATCTCAACCCATAATTCCAATGGGCGCCGGAGACTCCGGGAACTGTGGGATAGGTACCATAGTGCAATGCGCCGGAAGTCGACGCTAGCCTCGGTACTGTGGACGCGGTCCGCCGACTTCATGCACTTAGAGCATTTTAGGTGGGGACACACACAATCGGCTGCATACAACCGGTTTCTATAAAACCGGCTTCCATAAATCCGACCTAATTTTGTAGTGTAGACATAGCCTGAGGGTGAAATTCAATGGGCCAGGATGTCATCTTGTAATTGGAGCAGTCTGAAGTCAACCAAGATAATCAGGCAGGGTTGAACTTGACTGTGATAGACTAAAGTAATCAGGCTATCAGTTAACTCCAAAATTCTTGAACTCTGGTGGCATAAATAATTGCCAGGCTATAGCTGGTCTTCAGATACAGAAATAGTTTGGAGGGCCAAATTCTGCCTGACGGCAGTTGCGCAGCTTTAACTGAAGTCAATGGGAGCTACTGTACACGCATCCAAGGGCAGAATTTGAGCCATAGGTAGAAATGGAGGGCAATAGAACATTCTGCATATAAAACTCTGATCACAAAACTACCCTTTTTTTCTTCTGGTTAACTCTCATGCTTTCGGTCTTTTCTTCTTTGGTAGCTCGATGTTCTTTAATTTAAACCCATATAGTTGCAAAAATAATAGGAAGGGCCTGTTCTGAACTGTGGATCAGAGGGAACAAAAATATATTCAAAGAACAGAGAAAGAAAATCTAATTTGCCATAACAACCCTTTTTGTATTCAGTTAGTAATTTTTCATCTCTCCCAGGATCTGAAGAAGAGTGCCATCCACCACAGCTCTCTCCCAGTGATTTTCTTTGAGTTATTACACATAACTGAACTTGCAGCACAGTGATTTGTTTTCCATTGTTCTAATGGTTCCTTGGGTGTTTGTATTCAGATTAGGCTTTTGGTTTTTATAAAATATACGTAATATTGAAAATAAGATAAGCTCCTCCTGTTTGTTTATTTTAGAAAAGTAACATCTCTAGAAAGACAGCTATTTCCGGGGGGGTGGGGGGGAGAGGGGGCGGAAGGAGAGGGGAAGAGGAAGGGGAGAGAGTGTATTTTCTTCTATAATTCTGTCCAATTAGCCTCTGATAACATTTACCTTTCAAGTGAACACATCTTTTATAAATATTCTGAATATTGTACATTTCCCCCCATAACCTCACTGGTATATTTTCTGGGCTTGGTATTGCTCCCACTGAAATGAATAGGAGGTTTGCCATTGAATCCAACCTGAGTGAGATCCCACTCACTGAAATTAAGTCTACACTCCCACTCCTCGCTTTTCCCTGCACACCCACCCATTCCTGCAAGGGAATTTGTTCCTTCCTCCTCTCATTGTATAATATAATAAAACTATGTTCATGTTCAACAGACTAGGGGATAAAGCTAAAGGCTTTTATATACAGGGCTCACTTTTTTTCCTATACCTACACCCTGGCTTAGGCCCAATCAGTTCAGCAAAACTTTTAGGCATTAAATTTAACCACATGCCTATGTGCTGTGCTGAACTAGGATCTGGGTGTTTTGCCAACGACTTTTATGTGAGTTAATTTGGGACCAGTATTAGGAAAAACATAATTCAAGCTTATGTATTTGGAATTCTTGGCTCAAGAAAGATGGTAGAATGTCATTAGAACTGAATTATACTACCTTTTAGCTTGAGCGAGATTGTTCTTTTGACTAGACTGTTGGGCTAGAGTAGGAGGACACAACCTTGCTTCTGCACTTACTCCTTTTCCTCCTGGAGGCCTGCAGTCAGTCACACCTCTTCCTATGAGCCTCAAAAGTTTTTTGCACAGGTTCCAGCAACACTTCTAACAAAGCATTAACTCTTGAAACATATCAAAGTTGATGAAGTTGGAATCAATGATTAATGGAGGTTCCCCTCAACCCCCGCCCAAGAAATGGGAAACAAGCTTGCAATCACCCAGACTACTACCTGCTATATGCAGGAAGGCACAGAAACTCTAGGGCTGTGTATTGCTAAGGAGAAGATTTGGTTTTGATTCCTTTTTTGACACACACACTCACAGGCCACTAGGAAGGAAAGAGTGCTTAGCAATGACAGTGGCCACCCAGTTAATTAAAGCAAGTTCTTTAGTTCCAAGTTATTATAACAATCTTGGCAACTAGTTTTACCCTTGAGCAATATTTTACTTGTATTGCCTGGGCAATTTGTAAAACATATATATATTACCAGCAACAAACTTAAAATGCCAATTTAGAATGGACAACCTGCTTGCAATAAACTGAGGATGCTAGACATGTTGGGTTTACTGTAGTACTGGCTATCAGTTCATCCTGCCCTCCTGTTCCTGCCTGCTACATTTTTGTTACATGGCTGTGGATTGAAATGAATGAGAATCTTCAGAACAACAGGAAATCTCTTCATTCCAAATCCCTGCAGATAAGAATGTTGCAACAGGCAGAAAGAATGGATGGGGTGGGGTGCATGTCAACAATACTGGTTTCTGCTTCCGCACTCCAGCCAGGGCCAGCTTTAGGAACTGCAGGGTCCGATTCGAATACCCGGCGGCAGTCCAGGTCTTCGGCAGCACTTCGGTGGCGGGGGGTCTTTCACTTGCTCCGGGTCTTCCGCGGCACTGAAGGACCCCCGCCGCGGAAGTGCCGCCGAAGACCCAGACCGCTGCCGGGTGAGTAAAAAATTAAAAAGGTGCCTAAGGCGCAGGGCCCTCTTAGGCGCGGGGCCCGATTCCGGGGAATCAGCCTAAAGCCGGCCCTGACTCCAGCCCAATAATTGTGACTTTAATACTGACACAACCCTCATTTTGGGGAGTTAGTAGATTCCCCTCCGCCCCCACACAAAAACTAAACAAAAAAACAACAACCCACCACCCAGAAAATAGCCTTTTAGTTATGGGGACTAGTAGCTTTGACAATGCTGTTTTACTATAACGTTTGAATCCTATGTAGAGACCCAGAAATGTGTCAGAAGAGTCTTGATTTTACCTTGAAATTGACTGGAAATGCATTTTACACATGATAGGGTTTTTTTGTAATACATAGATTATTTTCTTTTTAAAAATGACTAACAACAGTAGCAGCACATTTAATAGTAAAATAATTATTTCCCCAAAATATATCATGATGAAAATAATGATTAAAATAATTAAAAACTAAATTTCTTGGTGTTTGAATATAAAAGCAAAATATCTCAGAATAACTTTAAAATTAAACAAATGCCTATAACCTTTGAGTATCTGAATATTTACATTTCCCTGAACTCTACTCTCACAGATTAAAAACTAAAATGTATGTAATTTTTCACAAACTGGTGTGTAAACAAATAATTTCTCACTGCACTGGTTCTAAGTACTGCTCCCTAACTATTGTCTGAATTACAGGTCAGTGGAGTCAGTAGCTTCTCTGGCTTTTCCCCTTAGTACAATTTAATGATGTCAGGAAATATTTTATTCTTTCAAACAACCTGAAAGGAGAATTTAGCTGAACATGGAACCATCTTTCTGCACAAAACCTGTACGCTATGGGCCTGCTTCTGCTCCTGTGGAAGTCAATAAGCTCCCACCAACTTCAATCATGCAGGATCACCTCCTATGATGTTAAGACATTTGTTGAGCTTTAACTAAGTGGCATGGAAAGATGTACATATTTTTCAAAAAAATATTCCAGAATTTTCTAACTTGGGAATCTGCTAAACTTGAGGGGCTACTAAATCCACATTTAAATAAGCAGCCTGCTTTTTCAGAGGTGCTGAATTCTCACAACTCCCATGAGTCTTCTGAAAATCAGGCAATGTGCCTAAATACAGATTTAATTGCCTAAACTTTAGGCACCCAAGTTCAAAAATCTCTCAAAACTACAGTAACTGCATTATATTTTAATGGAAAATATGAAAAATAGCATGGCAAGTGAAATTTCACTGTATTAAGCTATACATATGTGGGAAGCAGAGGAGGGAGTGTAATATCTCTGTAGTTGGTTACCTCTTTATCTTCTGTGCCAGGCTCTGGTTCACTGATTCTTTCTTCCCAAAAGCTTCTCACCCTCTCCACCTTTTCCAAACACTGAAAAAAAGCCACTTTGCCTAGTTTGGTACTGCTGTACTGTGTATTGATTTCTTCCATCCTGTTAATCTTAAATAGCTTTGTGTCGTACCCAATAAAGTTACCATCTTGATCTCTCTCCAGCTTGGTTTCATAAATCAGTGAATACTCACGATGTTTGACATCTTCCTTTTCTTGTCTGTAATGAGGAGAAACAAATGAAACATTAACATGACTCTTGCATTTTTAGTTTAAAAACAAGTCAAATGTGCAATACAAATGTTATACTTTTTTCCTCTTAAAATCTGTGGGGGTATTTTTTTGTAGCTATAACTAGCTAGGCTCAAAAAAGAAACATATTGCTGACATTAGTAACCTTTGCCTGTCTTAGGATACGTCTATACTACCCGCCGGATTGGCGGGTAGTGTTCGATGTATCGGGGATTGATTTATCACGTCTCATCTAGACGCAATAAATCGATCCCCGAATCGACGCCCGTATTCCACCTCGCCAAGAGGAGTAAGTGGAGTCGATAGGGGCGCCCCGGCGGTCGACTTGCCGCCATGAGGACGGCCAGGTAAATCGAACTAAGATACTTCGACTTCAGCTACGCGAATAGCGTAGCTGAAGTTGCGTATTTTAATTCGAAACAAACAACCCCCCTCCCCAGTGTAGCCCAGGCCTTAGATATCATTACCAGTTTTTTAATGACTTAGGAACCTAAAGGCTTGATTTCACAGGGAAATTGACTAGAATAGCTATTGCACATTAAGCTATTCTGCAATAGCTATTCCAAAGCGCACTAATTTTTCTGGAATAAAGTGACTTTTATTCTAGAATAATGTCCACACAGGGAGCTATGCCGGTCAACTTCCCTGTGTAGACAAGCTCTAAATTCCATTTTCACATCTGTATAAAAATGTGTTGCACTCACACATTGAAAAAATGTCTCGTAGTACTACAGATTTTGATGGGGAGCAATGGAATCTAACATTTCAGTAGTAAAGGAAAGGGACTCTCAATTTATTTTAGACCTAAAATCTAAAGTGAATAAAATGTTTGAATTATTTTTGTAAGCCTTGTCTAGTAGTGATGTAAATCCAAATACAACAGCATCGTGCTAGCTCATGAGCACAGGAAAGCTGAAACAGACCAATCCAGTTGCATTGTTTATTGCTTGCATTTTGCTCAAACTGGACAAACACCATAAATTATACAAAGTAAATTAGAAGTTAATTATTCTTTCACTGTTATTAGTAACATAGATAAGTATTTTTGTATAATATAGGATTACGTAAGTAATTAAATATGTGATTTTCATCTGGGCACTTTCCCTTTAAATAGAAAAATTAAATGTCAAAGCATTTAAACTAGGCTGTGTTAGGTCAGCATATCTTCCAGTTGACCTTGCCCCAGCCATTCCTGGAACAGTGCCTTGTTGCTGTGTTGTGACTCCCCAGTGCAGGAAAGAGATTCTTGGAGCCTTTTTCCTCTGCAAACAGCAGCGAGGCTAACAGAGGGAGTTTGACTGGGATCTGTCCGAGAGGAGCAGGGCCATCCCTAGCTATTCTGGGGCCCTACACAGCCCCCTGTGGGGTGTGTGTGGGGCCCCAGGCCTCTGCGGGGGTGTGGGGGGCTGGCTTGGGGGGCAGGAGGGAACCACCCCCCAGCACTCACCGGTGGCATGGCTGGGGTTGGGTCTCTGCACCCCTCAGGGGAGTGAGGGCGGGCCTGGGGTGGAGCAGAGGCGGGAAGAGGCAGGGCTGGGGCGGGGAAGGGGTGGGGGTTTTGGTGAAGGGGTGGGGTGGGGGCGTGGCTGGGGCGGGAAGAGGCAGGACTGGGGCGGAGCAGAGGTGGGGGCCATGGGGAAGAGCCAGAGCAGGGGCTGGAGCAGCACGCATCTGCGCAGGGCACCAGGAAATTTGGTGCCTCAAGTTTCCTGGTGCCCTAGGCAGCTGCGTACTTTGCGTATGGGTAAGGATGGCCCTGGAGAGGAGGTACGTTAAGTGCTGCATTGGGGGGCTGTGTTGGTGAGTATCTGAGTGTCTGTTGCGGGGACAGTTTGTCCGTGTGCTTGATTGTTTGAAAAGTGTGAATTGGGAATGCTTTGTTCCAGGTGAGCCTTGAGTGGGCCTGATTGTTATAAAAAGGCAGCCAGTTGCGAACCAGCGGAGAGGCGAACAGAGGGATTTTGACTGGGAGTTCACCTGGGGAGAGCCCACTGAGGCTTTCATCTTGCAGGCTTCTCTGAGTTGTTACTGCAACAGCTGAGGAAGCTCTTAGAAGGAAGGTAATATGGATGGTGAGTGATCAGCTGTTGAGACCTGAACAGGATGTGCCATGTTTGTCTTTCTTCCACAGGACAGAAGCGACTTTGTCTGTACAAAGCTGATCTCCATATTGGAAGAGAAGGTTCAAGGTCTGGAGAAACAAGTATCAACCCTGCGTTGCATAAGAGAAAATTAAGATTTCCTGGACAGATGTCAGGATATGCTTCTATGGGCACAACATTCTGAGGAATCAGAGCAGGCTGCGCAGTGGGGACAGAAGGATGGTGAAGAAAATTGGCAGCATGTGACCTCCAGAAGAAGAAAGAGGAGCATCCATGTACCAGCAATGCAGATACAGGTGAGCAACTGTTTTCATGTTCTCTCCACAGGTACTAATGCGGAGAGTGGACTAGACGATACATCTGAGGAAAGGGAGCAGGAGGAGACTCCACTGATTGGAAGGCATGAGATGCACTGTCCTAGGGATGGGGGTTCCCCACGACCACCACTCCCAAGAGAAGGAGGCAGGTGGTGATGGTCGGGGACTCCCTCCTAAGAAGGACTGAGTCATCTATCTGCTGTCCCAACCGGGAAAACCGAGAAGTGTGCTGCTTGCCTGGAGCTAGAATTCACGATGTGACAGAGAGACTGCCGAGACTCATCAAGCCCTTGGATCACTACCCCTTCCTGCTTCTCCATGTGGGCATCAATGATACTGCCAAGAATGACCTTGAGCGGATCACTGCAGACTACGTGGCTCTGGGAAGAAGGATAAAGGCATTTGAGGCACAAGTGGTGTTCTCACCCACACTCCCTGTGGAAGGAAAAGGCCCAGGTAGAGACCGTCAAATCGTGGAAGTCAATGAATGGCTACACAGGTGGTGTCAGAGAGAAGGCTTTGGATTCTTTGACCATGGGATGGTGTTCCAAGAAGAAGAATTGCTAGGCAGAGAGGGGCTCCACCTAACGAAGAGAGGGAAGAGCATCTTCGCAAGCAGGCTGGCTAACCTAGTGAGGAGGTTTTTAAACTAGGTTCACCGGGGGAAGGAGACCAAAGCCCTGAGGTAAGTGGGGAAATGGGATCCTGGGACGAAGCACGAGCAGGAGAGCGCAAGAGGGGAGGACTCCTTTCTCATACTGAGAAAGCAGGACAATCAGTGAGTTATCTTAAGTGCCTATACACAAAGGCAAGAAGCCTGAGAAACAAACAGGGAGAACTGGAAGTCCTGGCACAGTCAAGGAATTATGATGTGATTGGAATAACAGAGACTTGGTGGGATAACTCACATGACTGGAGTACTGTCATGGATAGATATAAACTGTTCGGGAAGGACAAGCAGGGCAGAAAAGGTGGGGGAGTTGCATTGTATGTAAGAGAGCAGTATGACTGCTCAGAGCTCTAGTATGAAACTGCAGAAAAACCTGAGAGTCTCTGGATTAAGTTTAGAAGTGAGAGCAACAAGGGTGATGTCGTGGTGGGAGTCTGCTATAGACCACCAGACCAGGGGGATGAGGTTGACAAGGCTTTCTTCAGGCAACTAACAGAAGTTACTAGATCACAGGCCCTGGTTCTCATGGGGGACTTCAATCACCCCGATATCTGCTGGGAGAGCAATATAGCAGTGCACAGACAACCCAGGAAGTTTTTGGAAAGTGTAGGGGAAAATTTCCTGGTGCAAGTGCTGGAGGAACCAACTAGGGGCAGAGCTCTTCTTGACCTGCTGCTCACAAACAGGGAAGAATTAGTAGGGGAAGCAAAAGTGGATGGGAACCTGGGAGGCAGTGACCATGACATGGTCGAGTTCAGGATCCTGACACAAGAAAGGAAGGAGAGCAGCAGAATACGGAGCCTGGACTTCAGAAAAGCAGACTTTGACTCCCTCAGGGAACTGATGGGCAGGATCCCTTGGGAGAATAATATGAGGGGGAAAGGAGAGCTGGCTGTATTTTAAAGAATCCTTATTGAGGTTGCAGGAACAAACCATCCCGATGTGTAGAAAGAATAGTAAATATGGCAGGTGACCAGCTTGGCTTAACAGCGAAATCCTTGCTGATCTTAAACACAAAAAAGCTTACAAGAAGTGGAAGCTTGGACAAATGACCAGGGAGGAGTATACAAATATTGCTCAGGCATGCGGGAGTGAAATCAGAAAGGCTAAATCACACTTGGAGTTGCAGCTAGCAAGGGATTTTAAGAGTAACAAGAAGGGTTTCTTCAGGTATGTTAGCAACAAGAAGAAAGTCAAGGAAAGTGTGGGCCCCTTACTGAATGTGGGAGGCAAATTAGTGACAAAGAAAGTGGAAAAAGCTAACGTACTCAATGCTTTTTTTGCCTCTGTCTTCGCAAAGAAGGTCAGCTCCCAGACTACTGCACTGGGCAGCACAGTATAGGGAGGAGGTGACCGGCCCTCTGTGGAGAAAGAAGTGGTTCAGGACTATTTAGAAAAGCTGGACAAGCACAAGTCCGTTGGGCCAGATGCACTGCATCCGAGGGTGCTAAAGGAGTTGGTGGATATGATTGCAGAGCCATTGGCCATTATCTTTGAAAACTCATGGCAATCGGGGGAGGTCCCGAATGACTGGAAAAAGGCTAATGTAGTGCCCATCTTTAAAAAAGGAAAGGAGGAGGATCTGGGGAACTACAGGCCAGTCAGCCTCACCTCAGTCCCTGGAAAAATCATGGAGCAGGTCCTCAAGGAATCAATTTTGAAGCACTTTGAGGAGAGGAAAGTGATCAGGAACAGTCAGCATGGATTCACCAAGGGCAAGTCATGCCTGACTAACCTAGTTTTATGATGAGATAACTGGCTCTGTGGAAAGCAGTGGATGTGTTATTCCTTGACTTTAGCAAAGCTTTTGATACGGTCTCCCACAGTATTCTTGCCAGCAAGTTAAAGAAGTATGGGTTGGATGAATGGACTATAAGGTGGATAGAAAGCTGGCTAGATCATCGGGCTCAACGGGTAGTGGTCAATGGCTCCATGTCTAGTTGGCAGCTGGTATCAAGCGAAGTGCCCCAAGGTTCAGTCCTGGGGCTGGTTTTGTTCAATATCTTCATTAATGATCTGGAGGATGGCGTGGATTGCACCCTCAGCAAGTTTGCAGATGACACTAAACTGGGAGGAGTGGTAGATATGCTGGAGGGTAGGGATAGGATACAGAGGGACCTAGACAAATTAGAGGATTTGGGCCAAAAGAAATCTCATGAGGTTCAACAAGGATAAGTGCAGAGTCCTTCACTTAGGACGGAAGAATCCCATGCACTACTACAGACTAGGGACTGAGTGGCTAGGCAGCAGTTCTGCAGAAAAGGACCTAGAGGTTACAGTGGACGAGAAGCTGGATATGAGTCAACAGTGTGCCTTTGTTGCCAAGAAGGCTAATGGCATTTTGGGCTGTATAAGTAGGAGAATTGCCAGCAGATTGAGGGACGTGATCATTCCCCTCTATTCGGCATTGGTGAGGTCTCATCTAGAGTACTGGGTCCAGTTTTGGGCCCCACACTACAAGAAGGATGTGGAAAAACTGGAAAGAGTCCAGCGGAGGGCAACAAAAATTATTAGGGGTCTGGAGCGCATGACTTATGAGGAGAGGCTGAGGGAACTGGGATTATTTAATCTGCAGAAGAGAAGAATGAGGGGGGATTTGACAAAGCCCTGGCTGGGATGATTTAGTGGGGAATTAGTCCTGCTTTGAGCAGGAGGTTGGACTAGATGACCTCCTGAGGTCCCTTCCAACCCTGATAGTCTATCATTAGCTACTTCAGCTGGTATATTCCAGAACTGAATTTAACCCACAAAATATTTTGAAGATCTCTTTAAGCAAGTGTGTGGAGAAAAATATTTAAAAGCTGTTAGACAAACGACAGGCTGTAATCCAGGTAAAAATAATCCCATAGTTCCCATTACTCAGAGACTCTGAAATGCTTTTGGACAATACAGCTGCGAAGAGTGCTTCCTACTGTGAGGTGGAAGTACCCCAATGGCAATAGAAAGCCTAAGTAGGCTCTCTGTAATCACTTAAAGACCACATCCTTCCCCAGCTCATGATCACCAAATGTGGCAATCTGTCTCATGAGAGTGACATGTCCTAATGAAAAGGGCACATTTTTCCCTAGATGACTGATGTTCAATCAGCTGGGGAAAATGTTAAAGGGGTGACAAGCCTAAAGATGCTGTGATCCTCCTGGCTCATGGCTGTGTTTTAGAATCATAGGACTGGAAGGGACCTTGAGAGTTCATCTACTCCAGTCCCCTGCACGCATGGCAGGACTAAGTATTATCTAGACCATTCCTGACAGCTATTTGTCTAACCTGCTCTTAAAAATATACTGCTTCCCCCCATCCACAAGGCTTGTTACCCTGTCAAAGAAAGCTATCAGGACTGTTATTCATCGCCTCATTATCTTCTAGATGTTTTCAAATTGATAGCTTAATTTGCTCCACTATCTTTCCTGGTACAGAGAGGCAGGTAGCAAGGAAAGAAAAGAAGAGGGGGGCCCACTGCCCACATGTTACTTCACTCCTCTCCATTATTATCTTAACATCTTCCTAAAACAACATGGTAAACAAGGGAAGGCTTCCAGGGTTCAAACAATTATGGAATTCAACAGCAGTGAGTGACCACCACTACAACACTGATAAATAGACAGCAAAGCACCCCAGCACTTTTTGGTAATCTGACGAAGCAGAAACCTGTGAGACTGGGCCTAGAGCCATCTGTTACCACAGAAACAGGATTAATCTGCCCTAAATCTACCTTGTAACTCTGTGGGCTGGGCTGTGTTGGTGAGAAGGGAGAAGATGGACCTAGAATTAAGTGTTGTGGAGCATGGCTCTCCAACTCATTCCTGAGGGGCTTTTCCTTTCAGTCTTCTTCAGTAGGCCAGCATTCCTCTTTGGCCAGGATAGTTTATCTCAGAGCTAACATTTGCTGTCTTCTTGGGCATACAAAGGCCTAAAGGCCACAGATATTTTCAACTGCACAGAGCCACAGACGCTCACATGATTATGTGGAAGAGGGGCATGTACACCTCTACCCCAATATAATGCGACCCGATATAACACAAATTCGGATATAACGCGGTAAAGCAGCGCTCCAGGGGGGCGGTGCTGCGCGCTCCGGCGGATCAAAGCAAGTTCGATATAATGCGGTTTCACCTATAACGCAGTAAGATTTTTTGGTTCCCAAGGACAGCGTTATATCGGGGTAGAGGTGTATAATGTTATCTCTATCATTTGCATAATAGCAACATATCCATAACCCAATTGAAATAAGGTAGTTTAGAGCTGGACAGGAATATAATATACAGGCACTGCTAAGAAAATGTATATCCTTTTTCTTTCTCAGTCTGTTTCTTTAGATTGTAAGCTCTTAAACTAGGACTTGCTTTACTCCATATTCTGTAATGTGCCTTCCAAACTTTTGGGCACTGTATTAATAATAATCTATAAGCCTTCATCATGAATTCAAAACAAAACTTCATCTGTTACCTTTTCTACATACTAGTATTTTGCCAGACACTTTCAAGATTTAAGTCAGAAGACAGGTACTATTACATAGTAGCCAGATTTGTTTACATTTCAGTACCCCAGCACAGTACATCTTTAACATTAGACTGACCTGGAAATTTACAAGATAGGAACAGTTATATAATAATGAATAATTAAAACTAAATGTATAATAGGAGGAAAAAACAATATAACCTGGAAAGATTTACCATTAGGTCAACTTTAGGTGATGAACTACGATGCTAACTGTACTAGTTATTATACTTTCCTATCTAGTTAAACCTATGCTATGTTTTGTATAATGTAGGATAATGGGAAGACTTTTTAAAAAAACTAACAACATTTCTGACTCTTCTTGGGGGGGAAAACAAACGTACAGGTATTTTGATAAATGGCCTGTGAATCTAAAAAAAGCAAACACACAGGGCCCAATTCTGATTTCACTTACACGAGTGTGAAATCAGAGAAACTCTATGAAGTTACACTTCACGATTTGCCCGCAGGAGTCAGGATTTACTTTTAAAATGTCTGAAGTGTGCAGCCGGAACTCAAGCTTTTGGTGAATTTCAATGTTGATATTATACATCTCAGGGATGTTTAATAAAGTTCATGATTTTTCACTGTTTGAAGGTGAGGTATGATAGTGAGTTTTATTGGTACAGGTATTAGTGGTAACAATGGTTATTGCTCAGAAGTGCATAGCATAATAAAAGAAAGGAAAGGGTGGAGATAAAAAAAAAGTGAGACGACTTGCATGTGCAAAGTTAAGCATGTGCACTTGTACAGATCAGGGCCTAAATCTGAGACAAATTATTACTAGAAATATTTCAATATGTGACAGTTTAAAAGACTGAGCTCTTTAAAAAAGGAACAAAAGAATTTTTTTAAGGATTCTGCTTACTAATTTTTCAAAATACTACTGAGTAGCATTAGGGACGGGCACCAGAAGCAACCCCAAATAAAATTATCTGGAATAAAAATATGTTTGAATACATTCAAATAATATGGATTTTCAGACACAACCCAACAATTCTTAAGACCCAGCAAAAAACCCCATCCTCGTTATAAAACTCTGGGCCATATTCCCTTGGGGGAAGCCATGTGTGTTGTACCAGGGACACCTCTGACCCATGGCCCAGCCCTGAAGAAGGCTAAGAGCTCTGTGCAGCTAGAAAGCCAACCTCTTTCACCAGCAGATATGTGAAAGGACACATAGCGAGCCATAGGTGCTGGAACTAGGGGTGCTGCCGCACCCTCCCTGGCTTGAAGTGGTTTCCATTATATATAGGGTTTACAGTTTGGTTCAATGGCTCTCAGCACCCCCAGTCCCCATTATACAAATTGTTACCGCATCCCTGCAGAGACGAGGCCCTCCGTGCAGTAAGTTTGCTAGGGAGCAGGTCTAAATAAATCGGGGAGAGAGAAGAACGTTAGTTACAACTTTCTGTCTCTCCTTTAGAGCAGGAAATAAGCGAAGCGAAGCTAACACATCTCCCCCCGCACAGCCGCAGGACTACACCTCCCGAAAGTCTACACGCTGCGGCAGCCTGCAGGAGGAGGACACGGCTGGTCATTTTCTTTTCCCGCGTGCGGAGCAGCGGCTGGGGGTGGAGGAAGGAATCTGCCTGCAGCTCTGAGCGAGGGGGGAGCATTTACCAGCTTCTAGCAAGGGAGGCCGCCTGTGGGTGGGGCCGGGGGAGACGGCTGCAGCAGCTGTTGCTCCGGCCCGAGCGGGGAGCCCCAGGGGCATGGAGGGGACCGGGGCGCAGCAAGACGCGCCGCTGGTGCGCTGCCCCGTGTGCCTGTGGGAGCTGCCCGCCGCGCACATCAATTCGCATCTGGACGGGTGCTTGCAGGACGCGGGGAGGGGCGGCGAGCCGGAGCGGAGCCCGCAGCCCTCCAGCAAGAAAATGCGCCTCTCCGGGCCCCCGGGGAAGAGTAGCGAGGAGGAGGAGCTGGAGGACGGGAGCGGCCTCGTCGCCCCCGTGTTCCCCCTGTTCCACAAGGGCCGGGCGGCTGCAGCCACCCCGGGAACTCCGGGCGGGGCCGCGGGGGCTCACAGGGGAGCTCCTGTTGCTGCTGCAGCCCGAGGCCAGGAGCGAGGGGCAGGGCCGGCTGCAAGCCCCGGGAGCCACGCGGCTGCCCTGAGCGGGGAGACCGTGGCCCAGAAGCTGGAGGGGAAGCCCCTGGCCGATAAGCTGCGGCCGGGCACCTTGGGGGACTACGTGGGGCAGGATCAGGTGCTGGGAGAACAGACCCTGCTGCGGTCCCTGCTGGAGGCCCACGAAATCCCCTCGCTCGTCCTCTGGGGGCCCCCTGGCTGTGGCAAGGTGAGTGGCGCTTGGGCGGCCCAAGGGAGCCCCTGCCTGAATGTCACTAGGCCGCACAGCCTCCTCCCCAGTGGTCAGCCCGTCTTCCACCGGGGCACCAGCACACTGACCCGGGCCTCACAAATCCCGACCAACAGTGAAGGGCGGGGCGCAGTTTTACCCAAACGCAGCTTCCCTCCCATCCTCTGTTCCTGCTCTGAATTTCTTTGCTCACCTGGTTAAATGAATACTGCACTAGGTAGGCAAAGTGCGGGAGGTAATATGTTTTATTGGACCAACTTCTGTTGTGAGAGAGACAAGCTTTTGAGCCACACAGAGCTCTTCTTCAGGTCTCTGTGGCTCCAAAACTTGTCTCTGTCCCCACCAGGGCCGGCTCCAGGCACCAGCCCACCAAGCTTGTGCTTGGGGCGGCACCTGGAGGGGGGCGGCGCGGCGCTCCGGCCCCCGGGGAGAGCGGGGCCACGGCCGGGCTCGCCGCCCTCCCCCCGGCGCTCTGGCCGCCCTCCCCCCTGGCACCCTCCCCCCGGCCGCTGGGGGGAGAGCGGCGAGCCCCGGGCCCTCTCGCCGCCCTGCCCCCTGCACTCTGGCCGCCGGGGGGAGAGCCGAGCCCCAGCCGGGGCTCGCCGCCCTCCCCCCGGCCGCCGGGGGGAGAGAGGAGCCCCCGCCGGGGCTCGCCGCCCTCCTCCTAGGGCTCCGGCCGCCCTCCCCCCCGGTGCCCTCCCCCCGGCCGCCGGGGGGAGAGCGGAGCCCCCGCTGGGGCTCGCCGCCCTCCCCCCTGGGCTCCGGCCGCCCTCCCCCCCCACCCCCCGCAGGGCGGGGAGGGCGTCCGGAGGCTTTTTTGCCTGGGGCGGCAAAAAAGCCAGAGCCGGCCCTGGTCCCCACCAGGGCTGCCCAGAGGGGAGGGGCAAGTGGGGCAATTTGCAGGAGCCCCCACGAGAGTTTTTCAGGGCCCATGGAGTGGGGTCCTTCACTTGCTCCGGGGGCCCCGGAAAACTCTCGTGGGGCCCGGGCCCCCGAATAGGGTTACCATACGTCCGGTTTTTCCCGGACATGTCCGGCTTTTCGGCAATCAGTATAGCAGATAAAGGTAAAATCATTTGGCACATCATCAAAATCTTATCAAAGCTTAAAAGACCTTAAAACATCTTGAGGGGGAAAAAAAGACTGCTCATCTTAAAATATTTATTTGTAACTTAAGCAATATAAATCAAAAACTATGTTTTGCAGCAAATAACCAGATAATCTTGTATTTCCCATTTTTTAGAAGAACACTTGCTTTTTTTTGTCCTGTGGTCTTGTCTCCAGTACAGACTTTCTTGTGTTTCCTTAAGACTTTGCTCCACCGTCTTAGCCAGGTTTTTCAATGGAGAAATTTTAACAGACACCATATGTAATTTAGCTTCAAGTGTATCAAATCTTGATTCTAAGCCCTAGATGCCAGAGAAATCATCTTAAGTGTTTATGTGTTGAAATAGGAATGGCATCAGATACCTTAGGCTAAATTCAGAAGTGATACATAAGGTGGTGTAAGTTAGACTCCTTTAGACCTATTAACAACTTCTACCCATGTCTACACTACAGCCGGGATCGACGCTCTGAGATCGATCCACCAGCGGTCAATTTAGTGGGTCTTATAAAGACCTGCCAAATCGACTGCAGATCGCTCTCCAGTCGACCCCTGTACTCTACCCCCAACGAGAAGAGTAAGGTAAGTCAATGGGAGATTTTCTCCCGTCGACCCCCGGCGGTGTAGACCCTGACCTAAGGTACGTCGGCTACATTATTCACGTAGCTGGAGTTGCAACATTTCTGTAGGCCCCTTAATTGTCTTAAAAGTATCAGTTAAGAATTTTCCTGAATAAGCCCCATCGTTGTTTTTTCAGTCCTTTGAAATAGGGTAGCAGTCTTGCATTACCCCCTTAAAACCAAAACTAGCAATATCAAGAATGCTTAACATAAATTATAAACTTCAGAATGGTCTGTACCATCTATTCATAGAAAAGCCTCAATATCCTTCTTGCTAAGAAAAGTAAGTCTTTTCAGTCCTACCAACCAGCTAAATAACAATATTAAAATCCACGTGAACCCCAATCATGTCATTCAACTGAAGTTGAATAATATGAGCATACGTACAGTTAAGGTGTATGAGAAACACTCCATAAAGAGTCTTATTCCATTATTTTTCTTATCTTCAAAAACAAGAACAAGAAAAAGAGAGTACCCAGAGACACAGTTAATATCCACCCACTCTCAAGTCTCAAACTTTCTGTAACATTGCTGAAATTGTTTTTATCCCATCTACGTTTGGTCCCAGTTCAGGGGGATCTGTTGCTGACAATGGTAGAGAGAGAGGTGTGTGTGTGTGTGTGTGTGCGCGCTAGAGAGACTAGACAAATTATGTTGAATTCAGCCCTGACTGAATTTATATGTTTGAGGGGGTGTGGTCAAAATCGATGGGACCAAATTAATGTACCTTTAGTTGAGATTGTTTTTTAAGTTTCCCTGCTACTGAAAGGTTTGTCATTATTTCCAAAAGGGGTACAGTCTTTAAAAGCCTGCTTGCTCAGTTGGCTTTGTTAAGGTCATGGATATGTTTGCAACGTTGTCCCTCTGCTCTATTCTTTTATGAACCAAAAAGATACTGACTCTCTTGCTAACCCATCTTATTTTATTTTATTATGTATTATTTATATTTTACAGCACCCACAAGTGTGCTAGTAACTTATGTTCTTTTATACATTTCAATAACCTTGCTCATAAAAAAATGAGCAGACAGAGCATGTAAATAGCACCTTTCAAAGAAATGCCATGGTTATCTACCAGTGGACCCTGACTGTTCAAATTAAAAAAACAAAAACAAAACAAACCTCTTATGAATGTCTATATGGCCCAGATGCTTAAATCCAAGTTTGCAATTTGAGTAAGCTGTGCTGTGATTTATGATACTTTAATGTGGGGATTTAGATTTTTGCTTGTCTGCCATGGGACACCCAATTTTAGTAAAGAGACAGCAGGGGGACGTCCACACCACTAGCTCAAGCACAGAATAACTTTGCTGTTACAAATAAGCTTTGGGACTGCAAAATCCTGAACAATTTTGTATTTCAATGTGATAACCTTCCTTTTTTTTTAAGCTTGCCGTTAGCCAGTTACCAGCATTTCCCCCCCCCGCCGCCATAGGTTATCTGGGACACTGTTGTGTAGAAAATTTAGGGCAGAGAGCATTTAGCCACTGTTGCTTGGATTTGTGTGTGCAATCCTATACTACATTAATGTAGGTAATGTTTATAGGAATGTGTAACACCAAAACATAGCAAGCTGTCCTTGCAATTTGTTTTACATTTCATTGGGTTTATTTTTATCTCTTTTTAACCAATCCCTTGTATTTGCTTTATTCAAAACTTCATCATGAGAAGGCACAAATATTTGCAGATTGGGATTCTGGTCTCTTGGGTGTAAAATGTGCTGTAACTGATTCCCCTCCCTCCCTTCTAATTAGCAATTGAGGCATCATCTGAACTATTTTATGTCCCCTCCTAATCCTTTGGGGCCTAAGCTAAAGCCTATTGAAGTCAATGAAAGTCTTTCCAAAGTAGTTCAGATCTTAACTAAGAATCAAGATGGCTTCTACAACAGCGCAGAGTTGAAAATTAAAAACAGATACGGAAAAGTGATTATCTCTGCTGCCATTAAGAACCAGTCTCCAAACATAATGGGCTTGATTCTGATCTTGCACTGGTGTAAATCAGGAGTAGAGTTGTGCAAATTAAGAGATGGTTTGCTGGCAATTCGAGGGGGGAAAAAATCATTTAAGGTCAGAGCAAACCCAAAAATTTTGGATAATTGAGAAGTTGGAAAACATTGCATTTGGGGTTGAATGAAATGTTATGGTCAATCCAAAATGAAATGTCATTTAGATTTTGAGCAATTTGTACATTTTTGAATTTTTTAAATAAAATTGAAGGAATCATTGAAACAAAAAGTCATATGGAAACAAAAAATCAAAATGTTAAAGAAAATGTTTCAACTTTTTCATAACATTTTTTGGGGGGTACGGGGGCAGGAGCTGGACACAAACAATTTGGTGAAAACAACATAAATTCATAGAATGTTTTGGTATCACCAAATATGATTATTTGTTGTTTAGGTTTTTTGTTGTTGTTGTGGGGGGGTTTTGGCCAAAAAAAAATTAGGACAAAAAATTTTACCCAGCTCTCATTAGGAGTAACTTCATTGAGGTCAATGGAGTGATACTGGTGAAAGTGAGATCAGAATCAGCCCATTGTATTTGTAAAGCAGTTTGAATATAAAGGGACAAATTCAGTCCTAGTGTAAGCAGGCACAGCTCTGCTTTCAGTAAGTATAATTCAATCGCCTTGTGCCTGTTTACACCTGATCTGAATTGGGTTCTGTAGGTGCTACCAGCCAGATTCTGACACTGTTGTTTACGGTGATCAATACCTTACTCCTCAAGTAGTCTATAGTAGGCTATTTTTGGAGTCACCCAAGGTGAGTAAGCATATTAGAATCTTCCCATAGCTAAGTATTATCAATTTTTAAATTTTTACGATCTCTACAGCCATTGCCACAATTGAGCCATGCTCATCTGCTACCCTGCCAGCTTCCTTTAGTCTGAAGCTGACTTGACCTTGTGTCTCCCAGGCAGAATGGGGTGCCACAAGACTAGTTCAGTAATATATCTGCTGACACTCCTAGTGGGGCTGGGGCAGATCACAGGTTTTGTAAACCCATCCCAGGGAACTGCTCTCCTGGCTGGTGTCCCGGGGCTGTTGACAGGGTAGGTATCTGTAGCAAGGCTGTGAAATGAGCACATTTAGTTCCTTTCGACGCTGCTCCATCCTAGCTGGCTGTCTCGCTCTATAATAGCAGTCGCTCCCAGTCCTGCCCCTTGCTTCGCATTGGTGCTAAAGTTGTAGACTTCAAACTATGGGACCAATCCTGTTCTCATTTAAGTAAATGCCATTGAATTAAATAGGTGTGGGAGCAGTGCTCATATTGGCCATTAGCAAAGAAGACTAAACAAGAAGAACTTGTACATTGTGCCAGTATGAGGAAACAGACTATTACCTTGCTTAAATGTCTCCTCCAATTTATTGTGTTGTGTTCTGATGGGAAATACACTGAAGCTTGTTTTTTAGATGAATTAAAAGTAACACTGACAATATAGCCTGCTTATGTTGTAAAAATCTAGGAACTTAATTTCATTTCAGATGTCCATACAATATCTGGTGCTTTTTTCTCCTTATACCATACTGGATTTTAGTAGTAGTCAGATTTGATTTCATCCCCAGAATACACTATAACTAAATTTGTTGGAAAACACCATAGTAGTTTGGCACATTTCCTCGAGCTTGTCTGTGCAAGCAACTGCATTCTTGGGAGTAGTTGTACTTTGGGATCCTATTATGTCTCCACTAGAGTATATATTTTCTGGCTTCATTGTAGCTTGATACACTACAAAAATTGTGTAGTATGCTGTTAGCTCTGGCTACAAGCATTATATCAAAATGCATAAATGAAAAAGCAGGGAACTCAGAGGAAACTGCTGGGGAAATGGGGGAGGGATCGCTTAGTGGTTTGAGCATTGGCCTGCTAAACCCAGGGTTGTGAGTTCAGTCTTTGAGGGGGCCACTTAGGGATCTGGGGCAAAATCAGTACTTGGTCCTGCTAGTGAAGACAGGGGGTTGGACTCAATGACCTTTCAGGGTCCCTTCCAGTTCTATGAGATAGGTATATCTCCATATAAATAAGGAAACATTCCACACCTATGTAATAGGCAGTTTAATTCTAAAGGACTGATGGCACAGAATAAGGAAGAGGCCAAGAATATGATGACTGCTTTCAGCATTAATTTTGAAATGCAGTTTACCCTAGCCTAATGGCAGGACCTCTTACCTTTTTGTGGGAAGATTCATCAGCTTGAAAACTGTTACCAAGTTCTCAGTTGAAATCTGTGACTCTAATGTTACCCTCAAGTTTATTCCCCCAAAATGTTTTTCTTTATCTAAATAATTTTTCAGAACATCCAAAAATATTTATATATCTGGGGGAGAGGAGCCTAGCAGGGGAGGAGGTTGTTTTATTTTAAAAGTAGCATGTTCAAGGACCCTAGCTCAAATTTGCTTCACAGGAAAATACAGCAATTGCAAACTTTTTTAATACCAAAAATGAATGTTTTTTTTAAGTTGTATTTATGTCCCTCCCTTGCAAACAAGTGGCAGATCTGACCTGCATTTATGAATCCTGGATGCATTGACTGACAATTGTAGAAGGTAGAAATGAAAATTGGCTTCCCCTGCATTCTTCTGCAAGGCCTTGATTTAGCAAGGTACTTAAGCATATGTCAATCTTAAGTGTGTGAGTGGTCCAATTAACATGTGAAATCACTGCCTAAATTCACTGTGGGGAATACCTCGCTGAGTGGAGCTAAAGGACGAATTCAGGAAAGTGAACAGCCAGTTGGTCGAGTCATCCATTTCTTCTGCCGCTTTCAAAGAAAATGGGAGATGAGTTTTTGTTTTCAGCCTTTAGACTGGGTGAGCCAATGAGTCAGTGCACCCAGTATTTTAAAGTGTGGGCATACTCTCCTGCCACAGTTTCTGAATCTATCATCCCACTTTGTAGGGACACACCAACTTTGGTTTTACTTTGGCAACTTAATTTATAAGGTGATAATGTGTGTCTCTCTTTTTTTGGTTTAGATGTCTTTGCCTCCTAACTGAAGGCAGGTCTGAGGGGCAGCTTTGGTGGTGATCTCCTGAGCAGAGCAGGACAGGCAGTTTACAGTGTTCCAGCATAGTCTTCTAGAGCACTCGACAGGGAAATTAATACTTCTCCCCGCATCTTCCTCCTCCTCTAGTTAACAGCTCAATGGGGTTGAAGGGGAGAGGTGTGGACTCTGCATGTGAGATGACTCTGGATTGGTTTCAGAACATCAGTCACACTGAAACCAAACCTCATCTAAAGAAAATGGGGAAGGCACCTTCCATCAGCACACAATGACTAGAACAAGCAGGAGATACCTTATTGCTCCAATAAGGATGTATTCTCCCCTTTAGTCACTCCTCTCCTACTTGGGGACAGTCAGACTTAGAGCCACATTGGGGGCCAGGAGAGGAGCCATTTAAAGGAAGAGAGTGCTGTTACTGAAGGAACCGCAAACAGGTTCCTGCTGGCGCCATGGGTCGCTCTTAGACTAGTAAATGGCTCTGTTTCCACATCTTTCCCTGCAAGAGGATCAGGTTCAGTGCATCTGCTGCACTAATTTTGATCCTTGGAATATATCTTCAAGACAATCTTTGGCTTGCTGGCACTTGTCCCCTGCATCATTAGTTAAGGAGGAGGCAGCTCAGGGAAAAAACTCTCAGCTTTTTGTTGCAGTGTTCCAGAACACAGAGCTGCCTGCTCTACTTGGGACACACCGATATACCTGCCTTTACTTAGGAAGCTAAGGTGGTTCTGAAGAAAAAAAAAAATCTGAAACGTGCACATTCAGTTTAGTGTGTCTGCCTATAAAGTAGAATTAAAAAGACAAGGTGGGTGACGTAATACCTTTTATTGGACCAACTTCTGTTGGTGAAAGAGACAAGGTTTTGAGCTTCACAGAGCTTTTCTTCAGGTCCTGAAGTTGGTCCAATAAAAGATATTACTGCACCCACCTTGTCTATCTAGTGTCCTGGGACCAACACGGCTGCAACAACACTGCAGACTATAAGGTAGCATTGCAGGCTGTTCCCATACTAAAATGAACGCAATTTAAATCCCTATAAATAAATACAGCCAGGAAGGAGTGGTTGGTATAGAGAGGGTCATGGAGAGGAAAACAAGAAAACAATCCTTTAAAACAAGTTAAAAGTTTGTTTGGCAGGTAGTAATTGCATTGTGTTTATCCAGGCCAGGTTTGGTTGCCTAGGAAATACCCTATTTAGATTGTAAAGAGTCAGGGTTTTTTTAGTATGATTATAACTTCTCTTTATTAAAATGCTGAGGCTGTATGGAGAACTACTTCTTGCTGAATATTTATTCATTTATTGTTTCATTTTCCTTGCAACGAGAACAGCAAATGCTGTGATTTGATTTTTAAAAATACTCAAATGCTGTCTAATTTCATGTAGCTTTTTGTAAGCATCTCAGTATCCTCAGCTGTTGTGCTGTATGGTAACTTATAGCAATATCCCCCAATGAAGAGCAGCATATCTTCTGTCCTCTGTAGCAACAGCACATTTGGAGGAAGGGGGTTCCTTTTTCTTCAGTGGGCGAAAAAAACAGCTGTCACAAAAGCTGTGCTAAATTAGGGCACTGGCCCTTTCTATATTGATACCAAGTAGATACTTAACATGCAACTCTGGAAAATGGAGGATGGGAGCTGGCAGACATCTCTAGCAGAATGTTTTCACATCTTCCCTATGCTAGAACAACATGAACTTCCCGTTCTCTTGGGTGTCAACACTCTCCCTAGGTTAACATGCTGCTCTATTCTTGGCTTCTTTTCTTTAGGCAAATACTTTCTATGTCCAAAATGATTTCAAAAAGCTAGTTCTTTCCTCTGTTTCAGACTACCCTAGCACATATCATAGCCAGCAACAGCAAGAAGAATGGTACAAGATTTGTGACTTTATCAGCAACAAGTGCCAAGACAAATGATGTCCGAGATGTTATCAAGCAAGCAGAGAATGAAAAAAGACTCCTCAAGAGGAAGACCATCCTCTTTATTGATGAGATTCATCGTTTCAATAAATCTCAGCAGGTACTGCTCCACCTGAATGTCAGGAACAAAGTTTCTGTCAACATATTACTTGCTTAAAATGTATGTACCTTGGTGCTGAACAATAAATGTTTTTTCTACCTTTATATTTTAAGTCCCTGCTTGATATATTCAGAAACTTTAGTGTAGAAGTTAAAAATTAAATTAGGTTTCTAATTTAAGTCTCAATTGTGTATTGTGTGCCTTTCAAGAACTTCAATTCAAAACCAAATCAGCTTTTGTAGAAGTTTTACATGCATTGTCACATCTGACTTTTTTTTTTTTGCCTGAAATTTTACTTCTTTATAGCTGTATTACAACTTCACTTCTTCTATGTATTTGCCTATTAAGAAGAGCCTTCATTGCCTTCATTTCAGTGGTAACATTACATTCAGTTTTTAATTAAAAGCACGTCACTAGGAATCCTGCAGATATTCCTTGTTTGTTTTTGTTTGTACCTACCCACTCTTCTCTATTGAGAAAATAAAGCGAACCGAGACATGAAATGTATTTATGAATAGTACCTCACCACAGCCAATATGAATTTTTCCTTCTTGAGCATCATTGCCTTTATTCATATTCTTTAAAACTTTAATAGCCCAGCTTCAAAACTTCAGATGCCCTTAGGAAAAAGTTCTACAAAAACTGGTAGGCATCAAACCAATAGGGTTTGACAGAAATGGAATATGGCTATATAGAAATCATTCTTAAAACTGATAGGTTAGCTGTTTCTAGTAAATTTTTTCTGTAGTTTTTTTTACCTATTCTATAGAATTTAATAGGGAATTATTATCCCTTCCATAAAATTCTAAAGCTTGGTTCAAAAAACTATAGGAAGTATCCTGGTTGGCTGTTAAATTCTATAAGACTTTTCCATAAGGGCAGCTTTTCATCGTATCTGCTGTCTGCCTAACAATAAAACAGAATCACAGTACTAAACGGTAATGACTTGAATTTTCCTAATGCCGTTCTTTTCAGTATCTCAGTTCATTCTTGGAGAAAGGACAGGTTATTAAGGTGAAATAACCATCATGTACTGTGTGAATGGAATGAATTCATTTAGGCAACTGGCTGATGAGCTCCCTTGTCAGTGAGCTCGTAAGGCATATCAGCTGGAAGCCTAAAGAATAGCAAGCCATGAAAAATGTACTTTAAAATGCCTAATAACTACTCACTTGGGATGGTTCAGGTTGTCGTTGATTAAGATCAATTTTTTCTGTTTCCCTCCCATGTTCAGGACACTTTCCTTCCTCACGTTGAGTGTGGGACTGTGACGCTGATCGGGGCAACCACCGAAAACCCTTCCTTCCAGGTCAATTCCGCTCTTCTGAGTCGCTGTCGAGTTATTGTTCTCGAGAAGCTCTCTGTTGAGGCGATGGAAATTATTCTGATGCGGGCTATCACGTCCTTGGGGATCCGGGTTTTAGGCCAAGATGAGCAACACACTAGTTCTGCGAATGGCAGCGACAGCAAGAGCTCTGAGTAAGTACTTTACGAACTGCCATGTGTTAACACACACGACCCGAGGAATCTATTGACAGGCTGCCAGAGAGAGCTGGGGGTGGGAAAGGAAATCTTAACCACTCCTAATAGTAAAGAAAAGAAAGTAGCAACATATGCTGGATGCTAGCGGGGGAAAAAGAATACAGAGCATTAGCTACCGGTGGATCCAAAATAAAAAATCCTACTGTCTGAATTAGTACAGAGTTTTATACTTGGATTTGTCGCCTCTGACTCACCCACAGGATATGTAAATCTGTTCTGCAGCTGAGGATTTGCTTTGGAAGCCTATAACTGGGTCCTGTCATACCCTCATGCAGTACTTTTTGTTGTTGGTTGTAAAAGCATCATATTACTGTGAGGTGGTAGATAGGGCATTACATGTTACTTATTTTGAGCCCACCAGCCAAAAAGCTGCTGTATTTTGCATAACTTGTTCGAACGAGTTGGAGAGGGAACCTTTGTGAACCTATACAGCAAATGAAGTTGCTATATGCCACACATGACTTTATCTCTTCACTGTGTGAAGTGAATAAAATATTAAAAAATAGTTCCTGTTTCCTTCCTCTAATTGTCCAAATCAATCACATTAAATTAAAGCCATGCTAAAAGTTTGGTATCGTACCTGAGAAACTAAAATCACAATTTCTTCTGAGGTTACAATGGGGATGACAAGTATTTCTGAGTGAGCTTGAGGGTGAAAAGGGTAGAGAGGAGTATAATGTTTTCTTGGAAAATAAATTCTCTATTTTGCTCCCTCTTCCCCACACTGGAAATTATTTGCAGTCATCATTTTAAAATGGGCAACTAATGAATTCAAAATAGTGCAAGCTCTGTTTAAATTTCATGTTTGTTGTTATTTCATTTGTTTCCATACGAGTGCTTAACTGTGTTATAATTAAGAACTTAGTGTGTTCACAGGAAATAAGTAATAGTGCAGGAATATCCCTGTACATATAGAAAATGAGAAAGATATAGCCCCTGAGAATGTATTTTGTCCTGTTGTATTACATGAGCAATGTGAATTCCTATATTGTACAGTTTAGTGCAATGAATGAGGGAATTCTGTTACATTATTTAGGGCACCATTCCTGACATTGTTTACCCGTTTGTTGCTTTTATATATTACACAGGGATGTGAATTGTAGCTTGAAGGAGGGAGGGCTGCATGTCAACTTTAATGTAACAGCACAGCTGTGTTTGCGACTACACCCTGACTGGGTTTTGGAGGCTTTCCTTTGTATATGGGATTAAAGTACAAGGCATAGTTTCAGTTGCATTTGGTGAGGGTTTAGGTTTCATTTGACTCCATATCTGTAACCTTCCACTAGCTCTGGATGAATTAAGCAGCACAAAGAGTCAAAAGAAGTCTGTCTAGCATAGTTTCAGGAATTTGTCCATGAGGAACAGTGTCCCCAACCAGTGACAAAAATGGAGGCCCAGCTTTTTAAAAGTAAGGATAGAACTCCAATTTTAAAGATTTCTTTTCTTTAGCTCTTTCCTGGCGCTTCCTGCTTGTCTGTCTGACAAATGGTGCTCTTATTGGTCAAAAAAATATCCTCTTATATATACATCTTGTCTCTTACCTTTGGTTTGTCTTTTCTGCTGTCCTTCTAATTCTCTTCTCACTGCATGTTCCCTCTTTCCCCCACCCTAGCCACTTTCATCTCATCCCTGCTTGCCATTCTTCTTCAGCATCAATCCCATTACCCCAAAATACATCTAGCAGTAGATGCAGGTAGCTGATAGTTCATCATGCTGAACTGGGAGATAAGCACACAAGTTTGGATGCAGTCCCAAGGTCTAAAAAGTTTTCTGTGGTGTTTTCTTTTCATATAAAATGAAGTTTTCCCTGAAACTGAGGGATGACGGGGATATATAGATTAAGGCAGAATTTCCCAAAGTGGTACATGCCCCCTGTTCAGTGATTTGACGGACTAGTTAGGGTGTGCAAAAGATGTATAAATTAAAAGGTCGTCATCTTAGTGTATACGCAGTGTGCCTCAGGTGGCACGTGATCAGGATTCATCACCGAATTTGGTCCACCGAATTTGATCATTAGCTTCCCCGGCTTGGGCGAGTACTGGTGGGGAGTGCGACGTGAATGCGTAACAGCATATGCTGGACTTCCTCTTGCCCTTTAGCTCAGGGGTTCTCAACCTTTTTCTTCCAGAGGCCCCTCCCAACGTGCTATCAAAACTCCACGGCTCAGCTGTGCCACAACTGTTTTTCTGCATATAAAAGCCAGGGCCGGCGTTAAGGGGTAGCAAGCAGGGCAATTGCCCAGTACCCCACACCACAGGGGAGACCACAAAGCTAAGTTGCTTAGGCTTTGGCTTCAACCCGGGTGGTGGGACTCGGGGCCCCGGGTTGCAGTCCTGCGCAGCAGGGTTTTGGCTTTCTGCCCTGAGCCTTAGCAAGTCTAAAACTGGCCATGCTTGGCGGACCCCCTGAAACCTGTCTGCAGCCCCCCAGGAGGTCCTGGACCCCTCGTTGAGAACCACTGCTCTAGCTGAAGGTCCTCTGTCTTCAGGAGATGGGCTGCCTCCTGCTGCGGCAATGGAAGTGCCCTCTGAAGCTCCTTGAAGGATGTCCCAGTAACGTTCCCTCCAAATTCCACCACCAGAAAACTGTATCTAAATTAAATTAAATTAATGGAGATATCCCATCTCCTAGAACTGGAAAGGACCTTGAAAGGTCATCAAGTCCAGCCCCCTGCCTTCACTAGCAGGACCAAGTACTGATTTTGCCCCAGATCCCTAAGTGGCCCCCTCAAGGATTGAATTCACAACCCTGGGTTTAGCAGGCCAATGCTCAAACCACTGAGCTATCCCTCCCCCCCCGTATCTATTTAATACAATTTTTAATATCTACTTTGGGCCATAAATGACCCTTGAGAAATAAAATTGTTGTAATATAGATGAGGGTGGTAATTAAAGCGTAGGAACACCTTTTCATTCTCCTGCTAGCATTGGATAGAATATTTAGTATTGGGTAGGAGCCCGGGTCCTAGTGTAGAACTTGTTCTTCTGGCCCAGAAGTAAGAGTTCTACCAACTGATCTATATTGTTACCCCCCGTTTTGATTATGAGCATATGCACGCAAAGATACAGTATGTTGTATTTGGTGACAAAGGAGGTTGGTGGTGGGACAACTCTAGTTTAAAGCACAAAGCTGGGGATTAGTCATAAAAAAGCATAAGCGAAAGATTTCAGTGTTCAGGATGATTCTCTCTGGAAGTCACTCTCTTATGTGTAGTGGGCACATATGGCCCACGGTTTTCAAACTTGGCTGCATGAAGTTACACTACTAAATTCATGTTCAGACTCCTATATGTAAAATGATTTTCAAATATGCAAAGCAGCTACAGATCAACTTCTGTAGTCATCGGAGTACTGAGGACCTATTAAAATGAACCCTCTTACATGTGGGTGCCTAAATATGGATTCAGAGGCCTGACTACGGGCACCCAAGTTTGAAACCTTGGCCATAGTGTGTAACACCTGGCATTTTAGGGACCCCTTCTGTAACTACAACTAAGTGGATTGTCCGCCTAATTTTTATTTCCTTATTTTTGTCAATTATTAAGTTAGATTCCTAATGTTATTTTAACAACCTTTGAATTTAGTTATTAAAGTTCTGCAGCATAATGTCTGTGTTTTACACTTGGGCCAGATTCACTGTAGCCAAGTTGCCCCTGCTTATGCCAGCTGTGAACATAGATACTAAAATGAAAAATGTTGCAAATTCTATGGTCCTAATTTTGTGCGCAAAGAAACTACTCTAGGTAAAGCACTCTTGTAAGTTTGCACCATTATCTCAGCCACTGTAAACCTGAGCCAGGAAGAGAGAGACAAAAATGTGAGGAGGAGAAGTAAGAAAAAAAAAAAAGTTCATACCAAAGATTAGACGTTTCTGAAATGTAGAGAGAGGCTACCAACACTTTCATTTGTTGGGGGTCTTACTAATATACAATGTGACACTAAAATGTATTCATTCCTGCCTTGTTCTACATACAGTGATACATTGCACTTATACAATGTAACATTAATGTCAGGAAATCAAATCACTTTACAAACATTAATTTTTTTTAATCCTCCCAACTTTGTCTGTTTAGATAAACGTGTATAAACACACATAGAAAGGTCACATAGCAAGGTAGTGTCCGAGTCAAGCAAAATATAGGAGTCCATATTTCTAGTCCCCTGCACTAGCAACCACTAGATGCCATATAATTCAGTCTGGTAATTAGTGCATTGTAATTAATGAAATATTGTTCCACTTACTTGTTTTATCTTAATCCTCTTGATTAAAATCTCCTTTTTGGTCTCAAGCCTTTTAGAAAGTTGTTTCCTTTTTTATCGCATATTCTCTCCAACTTTCCTGCAGACATTGGAGCTGAGATGAAGAGCCAAATTCAGAAGTGATCTTTTAAGGTGGTTTAAGCTACGTATTGTATCATCAGTTATTTGTATTATTATTTTTATGAAGAACTAATTTATTTCTTTGAAAATTGTGCTTCAAAATTGATGTTATATGGCTCTGTTGAGAAGGGAGTCTACGCTAGTGTAACTTGCTGTGGGACTGTAATGTTTGAGGGTACATTAAAGAAATGAGGGACTACTTTATATTGCACCCTGCTGTTTGTTGTATTTCCAGCCCTTCCACAAGTAGGTTACACTCACTTTGACTCCCTTGCACTCACTAATAGCATCTTGCAAATCACCTCAGAATTTGGCCTAATGACAGTTTTTTAGGATAGTTCATGCTGGGATTCAGATGGATTCCATAGTGGAGACAAGCTAGTGAGATATTTACTCTTGGAAAAACTATCTAGCTGTGGTTTTCCTTCACCTTAGTTAGTATAGTACAGGGGTCGGCAACCTTTCAGAAGCGGTGTGCTGAGTCTTCATTTATTCATTCTAATTTAAGGTTTCGCGTGGCAGTAATACATTTTAATGTTTTTAGAAGGTCTCTTTCTATAAGTCTATAATATATAACTAAACTATTGTTGTATGTAAAGTAAATAAGGCTTTTAAAATGTTTAAGAAGCTTCATTTAAAATTTAATTAAAATGCAGAGCCTCCCCGGACCGGTGGCTAGGGACCCGGGCAGTGTGAGTGCCACTGAAAATCAGCTCACGTGCCGCCTTCGGAACGCGTGCCATAGGTTGCCTACCCCTGGTATAGCATTTTGTTGTCAGTAAGTGATAGTTCCTGGGGTGCCCCTGTTTGTTTATTTATATTTTTGTCTCCAAGTATCGCTAGTTACAAGGTACAAACATCAAGACTTGGCATCTAGTATGTTCCCTGTTAAGTACTAGACAGTCCATTTGTAAGATGAGCATGAATCTGTTGAGAGGTCAGAGTAGTTTTCCTGACTTTAAATTGTTAAGGCATGTAGGGTAAGGGGCAGGTCTGTAAAAACACAGAGAATGGATTTGAGCTTCTGAGCATGGGATGGCAGGCCAGGGTAAAAAAGGTGAAATAGTTTGGTTTTGGAAACCAAAGCACTGACATAATTAAACACTACTTTGTAATCAAGATCTTGCCTGCTAAAGCAAAATTAGCAAACTCACTGTTAATCTGGAGTCTCTGGATCACAGCTACAATTTGTACTGAAATAGTAATTCTTAAGGGAAGAAATGCAGTATTTGAATGAATTAGTGTAAGTATCAGTTTCCTCTGATGAAGGGGTATTCTCTTCTACTGAAATATTTTGGGGGGATGGGGAAGAACCCCAACCTTATTTAAAACCACTGACTGCACTGTATTGTATGCATGACTGTTTCATGCATGACAGTTTCTCCACTCATTTTTGTTTTAATCTCGCGTTCAATATGCAATACTTTTTTAAAAATGTGCCTAGTGAAATATATTTTTCAGTCTCTTACCTTGTCTCCCTTTTAAGCAGATTTTTTTTATTTACATCCTCATCTGTGCTCTCAATGCCCTATTGTGGAGTCCTATTATTGCCTGCCTAAAATATCGTCACCTGAAAACGAAGAGAGCAATGTCATTGTGATACCTCTGGCATTAATCAAGGTGCTCTCCCTATTCCCGTGGTGGATTTTAGCATAATAAATAGTAAGCTTTTGGGGAGAGAGCCTGCTGTCTCGATCATGTTACATATTATTGACTTTTAATAAATAATAATGGAGCTGATAAGAATTTGTTATATAACACAGTCTAAATTTTCTACAATGCAGTACTGAACCTTTTTATTTAAAATAGCTATATTGGGTCACGTTTGGTATAATGTTGCTTTCATGGAAATAAGACTACTACTTCTACATCATCCATAGATCTCAAAGCACTTTACCAAGATGGGTAAGGATTATTGTCCCTGTCATTACAATAGAGTGGGATATATAAACACCTTATCAGTACAACTGAGGCACTGAGAGGCTGAGGTCATACAATGAGTCAATAGCAGAGCCAAGAATAGAACTCAAATGTATTATTATTTAACAATTAAATTGCAATAGGGCTGGTAGCCCTCAACGAGGTTGGGGCCTATCCAAACATAGCAAGTGATAATCCCTGCCCCTAAGAGCTCTCTTGACTCCCAGTCTGATGCCCTAGCCACTGGATGTGGGTTCAGTTTCAGCCTATATTCTGAAAGCAAGAAGCCTGAAATGCCTCATGCCTTTTTTTAATCAGGCAAATGCCTGGTCTCTGTCGGAACTATTCTATGAATCCTTCTCTCTAATCTTCCCCACTGGGAAATCCAAAGTATTTTGTTTTTTAAACATACAGCGTGTTGTTTGCTCTTGCTCTCCGTTGACGTAGGCACTTGTAGTATAAGTGCTTTTGCTGCCTGCTGTGCTTTAAAAATAACCTTTTATTCAGCTACAACTGATTAGCACCTACTGGTTTGTTTCAAAACGTAACAAAACCCAGTGGCCAACTTTAGCTCTGAAGGATGAATCCTGATACATCATCACAGTCTCTTTAAATATCAAGGTATTATTACAATGAGATGTACTGTACAGTGCTTCCTTCATTCCACAGCTCCCTCCAGCCCCCCCCCGAAATGTTGTTGGAAAAAGTAGTTATCTCAATGTGGCGGCGGATGTGCATTCCCTGCACACTACGGAGCATGGCTCTCTGGGGCTCCTTGTGCACGGTTGGAGGAGAGACTGTGGGGATGGTGTGGACACAAGAATATGCAGATCCATAGGCCGTTCCCAATCCCTCAAATCCACCACATAAAGGAGATGGGGCACGTAAGCTACAGACTACACCACTGAGGCATTAGCAACACCTGTTTAATGTTCTGTATTTGAGTCCCTCAGATAAAAGTACTAAGGTGCGGAGGGGAGTGACAGCTGAGGGCGTGCGTGTTATGTTATCTTTTTCTTAGCAAAAATCGCCCTCTGGTTTGGGAGTGTGCAGCAAGCGTCTAGTTTGAGAGGAATAAAAACTTGATATATATACATATCTGGTGTTGACATTCAGGTCTGCTTCTGACTAGGCTAAAATGAGAGGGAGTTACTGCTGCCCTTGTACCTGTCATTTCAGAGCCCTTGCAGCTGTTGCCCGCTTGGCTAAGATATTTATCATAACCCTATAAAGACCTAGGTCAAATAATAAAGATTAGCAGATCAGTGTGTCTGGAAACACTGGCATTGGTAGCTGGCCTCGTCATGCATCATTTCTGATAATAGTAGTAAATCTTTCAGTGAATGAAGTGCAGAGCTGTGGGTGAATCCTAAATTATTTGGCGTGTCAGGACACTCAGTGTGGAATCACCACTCTCTCCTGTCTCCGTGCATTAATCCCCAGTTGATGAATCTATTGATTTTTTTTTCAGTTGAGTACTGGAAATGGCAGTTAGTCATTGTTCATGCTGCACTTTTCACTATAGTACCTTCTGCTATGTATTGGATAGGACACTTGATTGAAAGTCAGGAGCAGAACTGGGCTCTTGTTTCCAGTTTGCCATTGATCTGCTGTGTGACCTGGGGCAAGTCACTTTACATTATGCTTCTCTTTTTCCTCCAACCCTTGGTCTGTCTTTCTGTTTATATTGTGTGTTCTTTAATGTCTCTTTCTGTGTGTTTGTACAGTGTTAGTACAATTACTATAATACAAATTATGGTCATAATAATGACTTTTTTATTCTTTAAGTTTATGTGCACACTCATGAAGATTTGACTCCAAGACAAATTGCCTGTTATCTATTTTCTATGGTTTAAGACTTTTATATACTTTCAAGTGAACTTTAAATACCACTTTTACACTTTTTAACTTTAAAAAAGTGATCTGGTGTCAATTCTCTTGTTTACAGTAGTTTCAAAGGTCATATTGATTGCATAATGCCTCATTAGTCTATAATGTGCAGTTGGATAATTTCATGCTAAAAGTACCACATTTTTGTGCATAAGAATAGTTCTGAAGTGCCTTCCATCCAAGGATGTCAGTGTTTTATTAAATATTGATTGATTGAAGTCCACAACACTTCCAGGACAGACAGGATGAGCTTTAAAATCACCTAATCTACCATTAAATAAACTTCCCTGTCCAGTCTGATCTTGCAAAAACAAGGAAGTTCAGATATGGTTGAAATCTTCCATTCCAGCTTTTACACATGCCATTGTGCTTAAGCATTATAACACACATGGCACATAGGTCACATACTGTTCTCAGAGCCCCAGCAATACTTCAGCACAATGGCATGAATTAAAGGACAGCTCTTTAAACCCAGATACTTCTCAGTAAATGCTGTTTTTAAAAAAAAAAACAGGTAACATTGTGAGTAATTTGCAATGAAAAGAATGTAATATGAAAATAATGTGGGCTAATTCCGTTGCAGGTCCCCTGTGTACATAGAGGAAAAAGCTGTAAGCACTCTAGCTTACCTTTGTGATGGTGATGCAAGAACTGGACTGAATGGACTCCAATTGGCTGTTCAGGCCAGATTAACTGCAGGGAAAACCTCTCATCAGGCTAGCACACAAGGTTGCTCTGTGGATGGAGTTTTTATAACAGAAGACCATGTGAAGGAAGGACTACAGCGATCCCATATCCTGTATGACCGAGCAGGTGAGCGGTTACCCTGAAGGTAGTGCTATGCAGCAAGGACTGATGATATAAAATTATATCTTATGAATTATTTATTTTTCCAAGCTGTCACTGATTTACAAACTAGTCTTGAATTGTGGTTCTACTCTGAAAAAGGTCTGATATCTTCGCGTCCCCCCCCCCCAAAAAAAGATATTGTGGGGTTTCTTATTTCTCTTAATGACTAGATCAAATGTGCTCAGTTTACAATTTTAGTCTAACTGCCAGCCCTACAAACTTGTCCTGAGAACTGAGAGTCAAGCTGGGCTCTTTCCATTTCAGGTGTGGGCCAAATTCAGATGAGGTTCACCTAGACTTATGTTGGCATAAACTTAGGCCCCATGATGTGGAAAATTTGCCAGAGAGTGTGAAAGCCAAGTGACTAAAATCTCTCCTCCATCTGGAGCCTAGAGGAAGCAATTGAAGCCCATTATGTATTTTGGTGCAAAGTGGTAATAGTGGTTTGGTCATGGTTGACAGGGGATGCATGGATTTTTCTGGTAGGCATCCAAAAATGCTGTTTCAAATAAACAAAATCATGTGAGTAGTTGAAATGTTGCTGGGAAATTGAGGGAGCAGTTTGCACATCTTTGTCACAGAGCACACATCCCATTTCAAATAATTTTTTAAGACTTAGCCTAACATTTATTAACCTCAGTTTTTTTTAATGCAATTTTGTTGGTTGAACCCAAATCACATGACCTAAAGTAGCGTGCTGGTCTCACAGAAGAGAGCGCCACACAGCGGCACTGTAACAATTTGTATAGTGGGTTTGTGGAGAGCCTTTGAACCAAACTGTAAACCCTGTATATAATGGAAACCACTTCAAGCCAGCACTCCTAGTTCCAGCACCTATCGCGGCATATGGTTTCAGGGAAATAGTCCACTGCTTATGTCTGATGTGGGTGCCTGCAGACTGTCGATCTGGCAGAGGCTGCCAGCTGAGAAACAGTGCTCTGAGTCCCAGCCTAATCCCAGATTGCTGGTTTCTGGAGGCCAGCAAGAGTTAGGAGTCTTGCCAGTGAGAGAGACTTTCCTTTCGCTAATTCTAGGTCTCATCTGAGCCCTTGGAGAAGCATTGCATCATGGTGATGTGTAAGGCCTGGAATGGAATAGCTGGATCGGCAGAGCAGAGGGTGCTTGTAGTACAGCGCAGGGCACCACCCCAGGGCTGTCAGTGCTTCTACTTGCACACCTATTCGTAAAGAAGAAGCCAGGCCTGCCTCTCACCTGGACTGTTTGTCTGCGGCAGAAGGACCCTGCTATCTTTACCTAAAGAATCTCTGTGGAAGTATGGGTGGAGGGTGGCTGACGAGAGGATGGGAGACAATGGGATTGGAACAGCAGAGAGCTTAGTATGTGCACACGAGCAGTCAGCAAGGAACAAAGTTAAGGGGACAATAAAATAAATTCCAGATGTCCCTGGGGATTGTTAAATATAATTGATTTACTGTTAGCTAAAAATATTTCCAGATATTGTATGTGTTGCCCGAATATGTTGCTTTGGCTAGTACACTTCAACCTTAAGACCTGATACTTTTTAATAATTTTATATGTAGTCTTTTTAATAGAACAGTTAAATATTCACTCGGATGCAGTAGTAACTGTGTTGAAATATTGCCCTTAACATAACCAAGTTATCTTTCTTTTACAGGACTGCTAAATGTCTAAATCTTTAGAGCAGTGGTTCTCTACCTTTTTCATATCAGGATCTCCTGGAACTTCCCTCCCCTCTGCTGGGATCCCTCTTCCATTTATTATTATAGGAAGGGCAGGATGGTTGTGTTCTTCAGATTGAGAAATAGGCTTTAGAGCAGTATAGTACCTCTTTCGCACTATAAGCCAGTCAATATTCATCATATTTATTTCAAAGTAAGATAATTATTCTGAAGGATGGAAAATTAAATGTTTTATGAAAGATCTAACAAATATCTTACATGGAATCCAGAAATAAATTTGTGACTGTAGTGATGTACGTTGTCATTTTTTTAGGCAACGTTAGTTGACATTGGCCTGCCTAAAGGTGATTTAAAAACTCTAAAATGGTTATGTTGTTGCTGTTATGTATTTGGTTGGTAGGTGTTTGAGATAGAAGGATTTTTCAAATTAAATGTTTATTTTGTGGTGGAGATGGAATGCTACAGTGGCATTTTTATTAGGTCTGAAAAGTCTTTCAGTGCTCATATTCGCAACAAAATGCAGTTTGAAAATCTGAATGGTTAACTTTATTTTTGGAGTTGCTTTATAAGGTAATGAATTTTGTAGTTTGCTAATGTCAGGCCATGTACGTATAACTGCGTGTAAGGATTCCTAATTTGATACCAGCTCTTACTAAATTCGTGACTTGGCAACATTATGTGTCTCAAATGCTGGCTATTTGTACCTTTTTATGCCGTAGATGTGGGAATTAGAGATTGAGTATTAAGGATTAGATGAGTTTCCTTATACTTAACAATTTATATGCTAGTGTTTTGGAAATATGTGAATGACACTGCATCTTAGCTTCTAAAAATTATGCCAAGAAAAGTTTGGAAAATGGATTGACTTAATTTTCCAGTAGATCAAATGTGATGGATTATCTGTAATTACACTTGCCAAAATTTGTAATGAGAGAGTTGGTTTGTTTTTTTTTATTTTAACTTTGTATGGTGCTTTTAAGTTTTCTGTTACAAAGAGAAACTGTTGTCTAAGAAAATAATCTTTGGGTAAAGACACCTAGCCAGCAACTGATTTGATTGGGGAGGGGAGAAAGGAGACAGAAGACCAGTGGTAGACAGAAAAAAAAAAAAAAAAAAAAAAAAGGCAGTGGATAGAGATAGAAAGAAGAGGATATTGTGGCAGTAAGGAGAGACATGCCAAATTTCACATCCTGGGATTCACGAGTGTGTTATATACCTTTCCCTACCCTTTATCAATTTGCTGTCTCTTTATTTCCCAGTCCTTTGAAATGCTTAACCCATCTTGTGAGGTGTTGAGTGCCCTCAGCTTCCACTGCTCTGTCTGTCTAGTTAGAATGTATCCAGGTGCCATACTCTGTGTCTCTCTGAAGCCACTAGTTCAAATATAAGCATATTAGGTCAGCCGCTTGTCCTTGAGGTAAATACACTGGGTTCCATGCAGTTTACCTGTTTGAGTTCATCAGATATTGTCTTTGAAAGACTAACACACAGCAAACAATTTTTAAGAGCCCATGATGCATTCTGTAAGAATCGAGGTTTGCCTTCCTGTATCCTCCTACAACATTTCCCTTCTCCCTACTCTGTGAAGCCTCATGTATGCTGCTTGACCATTGCCCTCTATGCTAGAGGTCACTGCAGTTCAGTGATGCTTTAGGTATATAGTGTGTAAAGTGCTTCTAGACAGCAGGAGCTGTATACATAGAGCATATTGTAAGAAATTTTATAACTAGGACATGCTGAATCAAGATTGCTCTTCTAGTAGAATATGTTCCAAGAAATGTATTTAGCCTAACAATAGTGAATTGTAATTATTATTGCTTAATCATAATAGTAATAGCATAAACTCTATGTAATAACTGTGCATTTAGCTAATCCAAGTGGTTAAGTGGCATTTAATCAGATGTTAAGTAAATATGAAATTGAGAGTTCTTGTCATCTTATGCAAGTGTGGCCAAATAAATATTGAGGTGTATTTTCCTACATACTTCCACCAAGCACTAACCAGAAGCCTAGGGAGCGAGCGACTCTCAACCCAAACTGTATAAATCCTTCCCCTCATAGGGATGCTGCTCTCTGTGTGTGCAAACCAGCGAAGATTGAGTTGTATAGTGTAGCATCCAGATAAAGGAGGTGTTCTTGTCAAACTCAGCCACCAGTTGAATGCTGCAGCATTTGCAATGTACAGTAGATCTGAGGGGAACAAGTGATTCTGGACATCTTGTAGTTTTTATCTTGATTTTTTTCAGTATAATTTAAGCGTATATAATGGTTGATACAGCACTCACTCTTGAACAGTGTCCATATTGTATTATTGATTATTTTTATTACCATAGTGCCTAGGAGCTTCAATCATGGAGCAGGACCCTATTGTGCTTGGCATTGTACAAACCCACGTCAAAAAGGAGATCCCTGTCTCTAAAAGCTTACAATCTAAGTATGAGACAAGAGACAAACAGATGGGGAAGCACAAGAAAACAGTGACACAATATTGATATTTATGTTAATGGATGAATTGATACAACACTGCCTTTCAGTTACAAGTTTGTATATTCCCCCATCACTTTTACATTTTATTTTCATATTTCTGATTGTATTACTGTTGATTTAATTGAAAACAATGATAAATAATCACTGTGATGTTTCTAGTTATTTATATAGTAATCATTGTTTGGATTTATTCAGTCTTTGGCCTCTGAGTTTGTTTAGCCCAGCTACTGGGAATATTTTATTATCTGGAAACCCCTTCAAATTATTTAAAATAATAATAATAATAATAATAATCTTCCTTCTTTATGAAGTAGCAAAAAGCCCATACGTTAGTTATGTGCAGGCTGAGGGTTATGTACTAGCTTTTCATGCTTTCTTTCTCATAAGTCCCAGGCAGAAGACCTCTTCTTATCAGTTCTGTTGTTGTGGTCTCCCTTTTACTGTGTACTTGCTATCCCTTATCCACAGGCTGGCTACATTCTTCTCTGGCTGAAAAGGGCAGAATATGGGTGCGACAGGGACTAATGCTTGTTTTATCTGTACAGTGCCTAGCACAATGAGACGCTGCCCTGGTTGAGGTCTCTAGCTGTGACTGTAATGTAAATGTAGAATAGTAATATGGCCTTTTCCATGCCTGTTACCAACAGGACTTAGTCATCTGCTGTGAAATACATACCTTGTTGTGTTTCAGGGCTTATATACATGTGTGGGTTCTCCCCATCTGGTGTTGTATAACAAAGTCAACTCCCGTCTAGCAGCCTAAACAGCACACGAAAGCACTTTCATTAGAAAGAGATGGGCAAGTGTGTCGTCTTTACTTTTAAAAGACCAAGAGACGCCTTTTCCGAGAGCATGATGCGAGTTCAGCTGCTTGGGTTTATTGCTACCAGCTGAAGTTGAAAGCTTGAGTGCTATGATGGAGCACAGATATGCTGCGTATGTTGGCACGATAATGACTGCATACCAGTGGACTCTGTGTGGAATACTATTAAAAATAGCTGTCTGCAGGCTTGTATGTTCCAGAAGCCCACACTTGTGAGCCTAAAATCTGGATAGAATAACAATATGATATTTACAATAACCATATGGGACTTGGGCCCAGGTCTTGCTCCCATGAAAGTCTGCAAGTGTTTTCCTTTTCAGTTCAATGGCAGAAGGTTTGGGGCTTCCATACTCAAACTAACGTGCACAGCTTTTATTACGCAACACCTATGAATGCTAAGGATATGGCCCTGTGGTTGTGAATTTTTTGGGGTAGAGGAGAAAGAGAAATGTAACAGTTGCTTTTATGTGCAGTTAGTTGTTTAATAATGCATTTTATATTTTTGGTATCTGTGAACCAAAGCACACCAGACACTTAGCCAAAAAAAAAAAAAAAAATGCGGATGATAAGGAAAGTTAAAAAACATACATTTTTTTTTTTTAAAACTTGCTAATCAAGTACACATAAATTTGTAAACAGAAACTGTCTGTTTCCCTTTCTTAATTTCCCCCTTTTATTCTTAGTTATATCCACTTTTGCTTTGCTTTGCTCCTTTTCCTCAGTTGTCTCCCTGGAGGAGTTAATTAGCCAATCTCTATAAATTAAACTTTCTTGGCATTTCAGTCCTTCTAGCCCCATATGTAATCGCTTTTTCCCTCCTGAGCTCCCATCCATTTGTCAGTGTCTGTCTGGTAAAGAAAGTGCCTGTAACTGAATCCAGGATGCAGTTGCACCAGCGCTGTAGAGAAAAACTATTTCCTCCAGACTTTGTGATATGACATCTCTATGTATTCATCATAAAATTGCATTGGTTTCTTTGTTGGAATCTAACATTGCAAATTCACATCTGATTACTGTCTTCTGTCATCTGTAGATCTCTTTCAGTATTGCATCTTTCCAGGTTTCTCCCTGTCTGAATGGGAAAAAATTGGCATAGGAGTGAAATACTTTTCCTTAATTTTTGCTGTATGTCATCAGAGATATTGTTCAATTTATGAGAATATAATTGCTAGGCTCCTTTTCTCTTTGTTAGATCAGTAGTACAGTGTTTGTTTTTTGTCCAGTCTTCTGTCACCTCCCCAATTTTCCATGAATATTCAAAAGTGGTGGCACTGTAAGCTTGTTGATGAATTCCTTACCCAGTAATACTCACCAATCGACTGGAATATATTTTTCCCTTTCTTGTTCCTCATCAGTAGCTATTCTATATGGCTTTCCTGATTCCTAATTGCCCTAAAATTTATTTAATTTTTCTTGTTGAAGACAGATTTTAAAGGAGAACTACAAAAACAATTTTATTTTGTTTTTCAGTGTATAAAGAAAAGGTAAAAACTTAAAAAAAAATTGAATAAGCCTGCTGCATATAAGACACAACTTACACACACAGATTTAGGGTATTGGATCTGAAGTTTTGGCCCATATCTAGTTATTACCCAGTTAAAAAAAATTCCCTTAAAATGTATTTACTATTGAAAGCACAAGTAATAAAAAAATAGATGTTCTGTGGGTTCGTTCAGTTAAATTTCTGTACATAACATTTCTCGCCATTTTTTCCCCTCTCTAAATAGGTGAAGAGCATTACAACTGTATTTCTGCACTTCATAAATCTATGCGAGGCTCAGATGAAAATGCTTCCCTTTACTGGCTTGCCCGAATGCTCGAAGGTGGTGAGAATCCACTGTATGTGGCAAGAAGGCTGGTGAGATTTGCAAGCGAAGATATAGGTGGGCATCACAATAATAGTACTGGAACATTTTAAAAAATAATATCTAAAAGTTCTTCCGTTTGCATCAGTTACTTTTGGAAAAATCTGTTTGTTTAAAAAAACAACAAATCAAAGTCCATTGCCATAACTAGAGTTCAGGACTAAACTTTTTCTTTTGCAACAACTGATGATATCATTGACACCTCAGATTAAGTGGATGACTGCATTCAGAATTCCATTTTGGGTGTTAATGATTTGATCAACTGTTACAGAAAAAACACAGATCCCTGAATTTAGGTGTCAGTAGATAATCAAAACAGTTTATTTTATTTAACTAAAAATGTATTTTCATTTGTACTTAAATTATCCAGAGGACACCCATATTTTCCAGAGGACACTATGGGTGTTAGGGACACCCATATTTTCTGGTAATTGGGGAAACTAACTCTATAAATCACCCTGACTTCAAAGCCTGCTAGCTGTTTTCCCAGTTGTTAACACCTTGCTGGCTTATCCACGGCTGACTGATTCACCAAAACTTCCCTTATAATACTTCAGTGAAGATGTGATTGGGGAAGAAGTCTTGGGGAAACCATCTCCATATATTATCTAAAATGACCTGTTATCTGAAAAAGCCACCTCCAATATACCTGCATACCTTTACTTCAGTAGCAGAGGTATGACTTTGTACGTAGACGAAGAAAGACAGTACTTGCTCTACTTTGCTGGTTTTAATTTACTTACGTATGATCCTTTTTGTTGTAGGACTGGCAGATCCTTTGGCATTAACACAAGCAGTTGCTGCATACCAAGGCTGTCATTTTATTGGAATGCCAGAATGTGAGGTAAAGCTGTCACAAACTTGTTTGTACGAGCATACACATATTTTTAACAAGTTTTATTTTTGTCTTGTCACTCTTGGTTTCTTTGTATAATATTTACAACTTTGTATTCTAAGTTAACTATTCTTTTGCTTCTTAATTAGCCAAAAGCAAGAGGAGGTGGTGGTGCTGGTGGTGGTATTATTAAACATTCATAGTGCAATAGCAGCTACAGGCTAGACAAGGACATGGCCCCTTGTGCTACATGCTGTACAAACAACAAACTAAATGATGGTCCTTGTTCCAAAGAGTTTACAATCTAAAAGTCACGTAATATTGTTCTCTCTCTGTTTTGCAGGTCATACTAGCCCAATGTGTAGTCTACTTTGCTAGAGCACCCAAGTCTATTGAGGTGTACAGTGCATACAGCAATGTCAAAGCGTGTTTGAGAAACCACCAGGGACCACTTCCACCTGTTCCACTGCACTTG